ATCTTGAGCTCTGTCTTTGAGCTGAATTTAGTGAAACAGTCTGGCCAGTTTTAGAGTGGTCTTAAACCTTCTCCATCTGTAGATTATTTTACAAACAGTGGAGTGTATGACCAAATAGCCTGGAATTGGCTTAAAATCCATTCTTAGGCTCATAAACATCAACAATCTCCATTTTGAGGGCCTTGGTCAGCTCTTTTAATCTACGCACAATGGCACTATACACCTTAATGGCTATGACCAATTGTTTAAATAACATGTGGTTCTTAAAGATGTCTAATAACAACTTAATAATTTGCACCAGATTTGGTGCATCTGATTCTATTTTTCAGGTTTAATGTAGCAAGAAATGTAAGGATATGCTGACTTTCCCTCAAAAGAAATTAAAACATTTATTCATTTTAATCGTATAAATGAATATTTAATTGAAATTGGGAGTGTAACTTTTTAAATTTCATCATATTTCTCCATCAGAATTGTGGAAATGAAGATCTAATATTAGTCCAAATATGTTGAAAAATATTTTTTCATGAGGTGTCCATATAACTTTAATCGGTAACATAGGGAGTGGTCGGTCCTTTACTGAGTGCAGATGCAATAATAATAATAATAATAACAAAAAAAAACTAAGAAACTGACTGATAGGTGCCTGAAAGTCAGGGCCTGAGTGTCCTGTTTTACCAGAATCACTAGACCAAAGCGTTACTTCAGCTTCTGCTTTCAGTGAGAAGATGATCACTGAACTTCACCCGGATTTGGTGGTATATTAAAAAGCGATGTACAGCGCGGTGGCAGGCTTGAGGCACGTGCTTAACGTTTATCTCTTTTCCAGCTTTCCTTTCCTTTCCAGCTTTCCTTAGTTTCCAGCTTTCCTTTCCTTTCCATCTGCCCCATCTCAATGTGACTGATTGGTTTTGCTGTCACATTTAGCAAAAAGAGAAAGAAAAAAAAAAACTAGAAGCCCAGCATCCCCATCACATCCCCATCACCCGTCCTCGTGCTGATCCATTACTGCTCTAAAACACTCCGTCTTGCGGACACGTCCTGTTCCACGTGCTATTTTTCATACCCTGGGCCTGTCAAAACAGGATCGTTTTCAGGATTTCATCAGCATGCCTGCCCCAATAGATCCTGACCCTTGTGTCGCTCAATAACCCAATCGATTCTAAATTACAACCGGCATCCGAATCGGATCAGCCGTAAGCACGAGTCTGATCTATTCATTCCTTCATTCTCCCATTTTATAGTAAACTCTGCTGTAGTTGCAGGTCTCTGCGTGTTTGAACAATGTTATTAAATAACATATAATGGATTTTAATTTTGGCATTGGTAACCTTCAGGGAACTATATCTGCAATTAACAAATTATCCAAAAAAAAAACATTCAAAGTTCAAATTAATCTAATTCATACTAATAGAAATTAAATTTAATTTCCCCACAGAAAGCAATAATTGACTTCCTAGTAGCCTAATGTTCTTAATTTATTTTCAAAATGCTAGGAAATTAATCGGGACAGGACAGTAGGAGCAATTAAGTGTTCTTTTTTCTCTCCTCGATAATTGGACACTCATTGTCATGTATCACAACTGCCCACTCTAAATGTGCAGCAGATGTGAAAAAAAACAAACACTGTAGTTGTTTAAGCCTAGACTGCTGCAGAAGCAGATGCATGGTTAATAACAATTACAGTAAAATGCATAGACTACTGCTTTATAATCGCTTTTTTGTCTATTCTATAAACTTGTTTTGCCAATTTAATCTTAACCCCAATAATCTAGCTTTTTATATTTTATACTACTATGGAATGAATGATGGATCAGTGGCTAGGATCACTGAGCGGTCGGGGGGGGGCAGATCCGGCACACACACATACTGTACAGGTATACAGTACATCCTGATAAGCCCTATTTACAAACACACCCAATAATACACAGACATACACACACACACACACACACACACACACATACATTGAATAATACATGAAAACACACACACGCACCCAATAATACACAGACATATACAAACACAATAATACATGAAGACACACACACACACCAAATAATACACATACACACACACACACACCCAATAATACACAGACATATACACACACAATAATATATGAAGACACACAAACACGCACCCAATACACATGCACACACACACCCAATAATACATAGACATACACACACACATCGAATAATATATGAAGACACACACACACCCACCCAATAATACACACACACCAAATAATACACACACACAGAAACACACACACACCAAATAATACACATACAGACACACACACACACACCCAATAATACACACACACAGAAACACACACACCCAATAATACACAAACACACACACAGCCAATAATACACACACACCCAATAATACAGAAACACACACATCTAATAATACACACACACACCCAATAATACACAAACACACACACAGCCAATAATACACACACACCCAATAATACAGAAACACACACATCTAATAATACACACACACACCCAATAATACACAAACACACACACAGCCAATAATACACACACACCCAATAATACAGAAACACACACATCTAATAATACACACACACACACCCACCCACCCAATAATACACAGACACACACACCCAGTAATACACACACACACACAAATATAATAATAAACTACAGGCAAGCTGGAGACCCCTGTTAATCTAACTGCACATCTTTGGACTGCCGAAGTAAACTGGAGGAACATGCCAGAATGGGCGCACTCACTGTTGCACTCACTGGTGCACCACAGTAACATCAGTCAATGTTCCCCAATTTCTCAGGTAGGAGAGTAAAGCTTTATCACAGCTGAGCCAGGAAGGAGCCAATTAGTGCGGTAACCAATCAGTGACCCAATCCCTCAGTCACGTTCTGACCCCTGCATCCTTAATTAACCGCAGCAAGCTACACGAGGAAACACAGCGCCCACTCCCCCACCCACCCAGACACCACCACCATCATATTCCATATTAATTCATCACTTTTTCTCATCAATTCTGAGACCCTGCATTACACGGCAATCACTGTGCTTTTCCTCGTTTAGTGAGTGATGCGCAGGGGTGACATTCGCTGCTCCTTGGTCATCCTGTTCATGGCACGTTGTGACTTAAAGGAAGACTCCTTATCCGTCTGTCAATATTCCTAACGACCTTCCTTTGACCTGGGAATTTAAGTGACATTGCAGAGATACGAAAGTAAAATCCTGACATTATAGAGTGTAAGTTATAAATAATGGATGTATGGATGCAGAAATGTTAGATGTTATACCTCTGACTCAGTGAATCCACTTACTTATTAAGTTTAAACTAGGCTTTGGTACCAGGCTGCTCATATACGCTGTTAAAGCAGATTCAGTTTTCAGGACGTGTTCTTCCTTTACCCCTGGGGTATGCTGAAACATTTTCTCTTTTCTTTTTTTATTAAAGCTGTTCCTTACATCTGGCAGAACATGTTTAAATAGGTTATCTATAGATCGCATCCTGACAATTTTAGGAGAGTAATACAACAATTGTTCTTTGTTTACAAGACAATATTTAAGCTCATTCTGGAAACAAACAAGCTTCTTTCTAAATTCAAAAGCAGAACCATAGTTAGGCTATATAACTTATTATTATTGAGCTATTTCTATAAGCTAAGCCAACCCTCTCGTTTTAATATATTATTATTATTATTATTATTATTATTATTATTACTGTTGATGTTGTTGTTTCTCATTTCGTTGGCATCAATCCTGAATCACTTGCATTGCGATGGAATTTTCTAGGTAGGGGAATCAGCCCTGCATCATATTACATAGTGTATTTTACAATATACATAAAATGTATAACAAATATGTTCCTATTACATTTTCATACAATGTGTCTGTGTTAGGCAGTACTCATTTTACAATCTAGTTCGCATTTTTTTTCCGTCTTTAACGAAATGTCGTAGTTTTCAAAAGAACATTTTCTTAAAAAATGCAATTCTACTACTGCCCTCCAGAGGCCAGCATAACTTCATTTATTGAATGACGGTAGTTTGTTGTTTTTATCCGTGCAGCATGAGAACGGCCCCCGATTGCCGAGCTCTTTCCGCCGATAACATTGCAACGGCATGTGACAATAATACGTCGACTGGATGCACACGGTCAGTTGTAAGACGTTTCCTTAAGTTAAAATATTGTGGGATGCGGAGGCGGATTCTGCACCTCAGCAGAACATGAAGACATAGAGACAATGCATTTAATCTTATTTTAGCACATGAAAGAACTATTTAAAAAGATGTGTATAAAGTTCAATTTCGTGTGTGCGTGTATACGGCCGTGCGAGAATACGTGTGTTCATATGCGAGTCTGCATTTCCGCGTCCAAAGAGGCGGAATTCCTCAACCCAGACAATTTAACATGCTGCTCATGTTTCCGTTAACCCACCACATAATTGGGAACAAAGCAGTGAGAATGCTTACTTGGTTTATTATTCATCACAGCCTCCGTACCTTAACCGGGCCATGGCGACGATAAGGGTGCCAGTTAACAGTCGTAAGGTTGATCGGGACCTCTCGCTCGGCGGGGCATCACAGAAGGGATTCGGGGACCCTGGGGGACTAGGAGCCTCGGCAGATCCCGGGGTCTCAGCAGGAGCGGGGAAAGATCGTTTATCTATACCACGCCACATCAAGCAAACCGGATCTAATGACTTAAACGCAGAAACTCCACTGAACCCAAACAGGGGATCCCTATTGCCCCTTTTCAAATTAAAACTTATAATTATCATCATCAGGTTTTTGAGAATAAATGCTTCCCAAAAGTTCAGGGGGTTATACTAGGTTTGATAGTGCAGTTACAGGTACATATTTGCATATGCTACAAAACGCCAAAAAAATATCCATCATCGATAGTTACGTTCCCCTGCCTGACGTGCATCAATTAATTTTCCATGAGATTTTCACCGAGGTTTTTTAATTGTTCAGCGAGAATTCATTTCTTCCAGAATCGCTCTGGGCACCTGCTTAAAATAATTCACATAAAGGGAAAAAATAGCGGAGAAACAATATCAAACTCTATCACTCTAAATAGGACTCTAAACTATTTATTTCCTGTACGAATGGTTTCTTAAAATGCCGAATCTGCCATAAAACCAAAACAGCAGCACACAGGAAATCAATGGTGCTTTATCTTCTTAAATGGTTTTGAAGAACTTGAATGTCCAATCAGGTTTCATTACAAGCCACTAAAACTGATTTAGGGGATAGGCAGGATACGATACGCGTTAGGGAACATTACCATTTCACCAGGAAAATCGGCAGTAATGAAAAGGCAGCTTTAATTAGAACCATTGCTGGATTACTGGAAGCTTTAGAACAGAGTTTGCTTTGCTGCTGAGGACTTGTGAAGACCCAGTGGACATTGGAGAATTGGATCTCTGAGAAAGATTCCCTGACAGCGATCCAGTCAGCAAGGTGGCGAGGAAACAGACCAGCATGGGGTATCACACACCAAGCTCAGCAGGGAGGTCAGTAAGATTCAGCTAGGGCAGTGTTTCCCAATCCGGTTCTCAGGGACCCGCAAACAGTCCACATTTTTTTTCCTACTGGGTACTGAGAGGGAGCAAAAATGTGGACTGTCTGCAGGAGGGAGCAAAAATGTGAACTGTCTGCAGGAGGGAGCAAAAATGTGGACTGTCTGCAGGAGGGAGCAAAAATGTGGATTGTCTGCAGGAGGGAGCAAAAATGTGGACTGTCTGTAGGAGGGAGCAAAAATGTGGACTGTCTGGCAGGGAGCTGGGAGGGAGCAAAAACATGGACCGGCTGTGGGTCCCCGAGGACTGGATTGGGCTAGGGAGCTAGGGAGTCACAGATGGGGTAACCTGATGTGCGTGAATATGTGGGGGGGAGTTATGCATATATTACATTTATTACATTGTGGGGACCAAATGTTATTTTCACATTCTGAGGACCATTTTTTTCGGCTCCCACAGGGGGAAACTCAATTTTATAAAAGTCTGTGATTGCAATCAAAAAACTAAAAATGCCCAAAGTCTCATATTTTCTCTGGTTACTTATGGTCAAGGTTAGGGCTGGGTAGGGGTTAAGGGTGACATGTCGGCATTAGAGTTTTCCACCTAGAAATGAATGGAGAGTCCTCACAAAGATATAATTACAAACCTGTGTGTGTGTGTGTGTGTGTGTGTGTGTGTGGATATTGTTCATAGAGAAACACTTACAGAGTGTATTTATCATGATGGAAATTACAGGTTTACAGTGGCATGACACATTTTGATAGTAAAAAAAAAGACATTAATCAACAGTAACAGTAAATAATACATGACAATACATGGCAAAGAATGTCAGGGAAAGGACTGTGTGGAATTCCATAGTAATGGCTCAGAAATGAAGAGTATTGCAGAGAGGGCTGTAAAGTGAACAAATGAATGTTCTGGGAATGTGCAGTTTTCATGAAATTCACTGACATTCAGTAGAAATGGCAACTGAGACAAGACCTAAAAAGGGAGAGGGATGGGTCTGCTGCTGCCTTTGTAGGTCTTTTTAATAACACATGTGCGTACTTCTCATCCATCCAGCAAGCCCCGCTTCATCCAGTAAAGGATCATGGTGAATCTGGAGTCTATACCGCGAATCTCTTGGTCACCGTGCCTCCCATTCATAATTTATTAAATAAAAAAAAATGGCAAGCGACCCGAAGTGATGTGGTGTATCAGTGGACAGACCTGTGGTCTCACATCTCTGGGGTCATGGTTTCAATTCCTGCCCTCTTGCTCGTGTTGGGGTTAGTGTGACAAACATCCATGACATATTTAGCTGCTGGAACGTGGCTCCTCTTTTCTCCTCGCCAGCATCTGCTTCCCCGGTTGGTGCAGAAAGCTGTTAACAGTCATGTGCTTCACCCTGGTGCCCCTTAGCAGACAAAAAACTACATGCATGGCTCCACTATATGCCCTGTTACCAAAATCAAATAGCTGTCAATAAAACCCTCGCTGTGAAGCCATGGATTATGGGTAACGGCTGCCCCGCATCTGTACCCATTCTACACACACTGCTGTGTTATTGTCCGAGCGAATGTCGAGGAAAAAAAAATATTAAACATGCAATACAGCAGCTACAAGAGATGCAATCTGCAGTGGCATCTAGAGAAGATTGTAATCTCCAGCAACATGAATATTAAGAATTGATTTTTCTCCATAAGCCATTCGAATAATTTGCCAGCATTCATCTCTCCTTCATTTGTCCTTCATACTTCCTTGGAAAGCCCTCCAGGATGTACCCTGTCTCCTCAGCTTGCCATGATGGACGCCACATCTCCAAGACCCATGCTGGGTAAGTGGATACCAGTGGACAACTTACTCTGCAAAGAGCAAGTTGAGGGAGGCGCAAAAACAATTTCCCCACAGGGATCAATAAAATATCAATTATAATAATAATAATTATTATTATTATTATATATTTTATTTTCATCCATCCATCCATCCACATGCCTTTCCTGGTCAGGGTGGTGGAGGGGCCTGGAGCCTATCCCAGGCAGCACCGAGCACAGGACTGTGGTACACTCTGGGTAAGATTTTCACTTATATATTTGTGTCTATATATTGTGTGTGCATTTAGATATTAGTGCTTTCTATTATGTTATTATGTTCAGGCATGACTGGGAAAAAAACACTTTCTAAAGCTATGTATTGACAGCTACATATCAAAGCTCGTTAATGCAAATCTTCGCTAAAACTGAAAATTATGTTTGTATTAGACCCATATCCCTCAGTCGCTCAGCCGAATGAAACGATTAGGTCTGCTGGAATTATCAAGAAAACATGCTGATTATAATTCACCTGACGTAAAATGAAATTCTTTTTTTCATTACAAACACTTCGCAAGGAGAGAAGAAATTAATTTAATTTATTATGCTTCCGTGCCTGCTAACGATCCTCCAGTTCTCTATTTTCAATTAGCATGCCTTAAATTGCAATGGAAGGGTTTTTTTTCTCTTTTTACAGAACAGTCATTTCCAGGCCTCCTGTAAAGTCAGGATCATGAATAAATCATGGGACAGAACTTAGCACCATTTCTATCCTCTTCAGCAAAAAAGATGACTTCACCGGGCCTTAATACATTCAGGAGTCAGACCCCAGATGAACTCTGATAAATTCCAACGCCACAAAGGTGCAGCAGCGAGGTTCTAGGTGGCCCTGCCTAGAGCCATCCTGGGGGAGATGGAGGCTCGTTCTTTATGTCCGAGGGAATGGAATACAAAGCTTCAGACTGGGGCTGCACCTGGGCATAATCAGACTGCAGCAAGGGGGGGGGGGGCAAAACACCCCAGACATCCTTTGAAAACCGTTCAACGGTTCAGCTGTGCCATGCTACGCACCGCACGTTACCAGATTAGATAAATAGGCTGTGAGTGTGTGTGTGCGCACGCTCGAGTCTGTGTTCGCGTGTGTCTGCCCGCACACTCCCTTTTGTTGTTGTTTATTACCGGAGCGTCTCCCTGTGGGAGCAGGTGGTCCGTTATTAGCCGTGATCAGAGCAGATACTAAGGCAGTCAGCCGATGACATGGGTGCCGAAACGGTTTTTCAGCGGCAGCCTGCTGCTCATCTTGACAGCCCGTTCAGATGAAACCTGCGAGCTTTTGGTAGAGTTATATTCCTCCCAATGGCGTGGAGTAGCAGTAGAAGGTGAATAGGACTATTTTACTCCACCAAGAATCCCCAGCTTGTGTCCACTGGGTAAGAGAGTCCAGGCCGCAGCGAATGACTCATTATTCCCGCTCAGCTCAATATTTTTGGGGTTAGGGTCACCGACAAGCCCAGGATACTTAAGTGTGAGTTACTCTGACACAGATGAGGGTTGCAAGAGTCTGAGCCCAGTCTTGTTATCATCAACATTTCATACCGTGTTTGACGTGAAACGGGTAAAAATAAACACCTCGCTGAGCCAAAGAAGCGTATTTGATCAAACACCCACAATTGGGCAACAGTGGGACTGCTGAATGTTGTCAAAGAGAGTTTGCCTGCTGCTAGTAAATTATGCAGGGTCTTATCAGCACTGTGTCTTAAAACAATGACATGTGTGATACATCTACTCCAGATGACTATATCAAATCTGTTCTACGTTACAGAGCAGGATACGTTATCATTACAAAGATGGAAATCTTCGGAAATCTTCTCTTGAGAATTATCGAATCTTGAGGCACTAATCTGGATAATAATACATCTTCGTTTTTACAGCCCGGAGATGAGCAGGCAGTATATCATTTAAATAATTTAACGAACAAGTGTGTTTTTTTAAACACACGGATGTTACCGTAAGAATTAATTAGCTATTAAAACGTTAATAACTCTGCCGGCTAAGAACAGCTCGTAATCGTGCTGCAAACATCTGCAGGCAAGCAACATTGACGGTTAGGCTGATATCTAGGCGACGTGCATAATTTAGCATCTGCATTACCACCAGAGTGGCCTGGGACTTCACCATGCCATGCGACGTGATGTAGAGCATTACACCAAGTCGCAAAAAGGCACGTTCGCGCAAAGAGATGCCAGATCATGAAAAACGGGAGCTGAGCCCTGTCTGAGGACCCAGAGCGGCGTAACAGTCATCCATAAATACTGTCAAACGAGCCTTCCCGAGACGTGACACTTAATTATCCTTGCCAAAAATACCCCAAGTTCATGCAAAGCCAGTCCCCGATGTGTCCAGCAAAGATGTCGACATTCTAGAGGTGCAAGACTCCAGGCTCCTAATTACCTTCTGAACAACCTTTGAGCGTAAAAACGTTCCCCTTCCCCATTAACGGCTCACACGCTGCCTTTGATTACAAAACAAACGACAAACAAATACAGGCCAGGGCTGTTATGAACTTCGAGTCTTAACATAAAGTGGTGCATGTCAGTGTACTCAGTGTGCACGCTTGCTGTGATGGAGTGGCACTATTTTTAGTGCTGAACAGCACAGTCTGACCTCCCCCAGGCATTAATTGGGCTGTTAAAGGGAAGCATTAACAAGCACAGCAATCCTCATTTGTGTTTGCTTATAGTTTAAAACCCATACAGCAAACATCTGGCAACAGCTACTACGATGCACAACAAACCATATTCTGCATTACTGTACTGAGGCAATTAGGAGCGGATTAATACAGAATAATATTGTACGAACTAATGATTATTAAAAGACTGTCTTGACAATGCTCTACAAGAACAATAATGCATTTTTCCCTCTTTTTAATGTTACTGGAAGTCAACATGTGAAATTTAAACAGGCCTTTGTAGTGTGATGTAGATTCCAATGCAAGTTCCACAGTGGGAAATGGAGAAAGCACTCATTCTTTCCTCTGGAAACTTATAAAAAATCATACTGGACTGATGAACTGGAACACTGAGCCGTAAGTAAGACCATATTCCATATTACATGGCACAGCAAGACTGACTCCAGTGGTTGTTTAAGATGTCATGACACCATTTCAATCAGCTTTAGCTGCATAAATCCATACATTTAACCTCTTAACGATTTCACAAACCGCTGGGGATGTCTGGGCCAGTGTCTCCTTTCTGGCATCCTAGTCACTTGTAAGCAGATGTTTCGAAAACAAAATAAATGGCTAGCAAGAAGAGTTGTAAGGTTAGTAGAACATGTTGTTTCATGATCTCCTAAATAAGGAAAGCATTTATTTAATATTTAGTGTCGTGCCAATAGGGGGGCCCCAAACATCGAGGGCCCCAAACCTCGAGGGCCCCACACAAATGTATGGTGAGAAATGCTGCCACTCGGGATGATAAACACAGCTGATGTATATAAGACCACGAGACATTTGCATATGTGTTAAAATGCATTTGCCCTTATAGGGCATTATATTTAATTATTATGCCACAACTACAGCATCAAAGTGGAATTTACTGGGATTCTCTATGGGCTGAAAAAAGTAAATGTGATATAGCATAACACATCTTAAATGTCTGAAAATGAAAACCAGAGAGGGGTGCCTCTGTGGGTAGCACTGTAGTCTTACACCTCCGGGGGGGGGGTCAGTTTTAATCTTGCCTTGTGAAGTCTGCCTGTTCTCTTTGTGTTCCCCCCCCCCGTGTTGTTTGGGGTCCCTCCCGCAGCCCAGTGCGGCTAGGCTAATCCTCACCCTTAAACTAGCTGAAGGGTATCTGTGCTCTGTGATGGACTGGCATCCTGTCCAGGGTGGACCCCAGCTGCTTGGGGTGATTCTCCTGGCCCACCATGATCTAGACCAGGATGAGCAGTTAGAAGATGGATAAAAAAATCATAAAAGAACTGATTGCATAAGTATTCGTTCTGCTCTTGGAAGCATTTGCAACAATCATAGATGGACTCTTGGGGTAAATCTCTACCAGGTTTGCATGCACGTGTCCAGTGCTTATCACAGTAGGGTTCAGGTCTAAGCTGTACCATCATCCCTCCAGGACACAGACTCTTCTTGTTATTAAGCTATTCCAACATGGCTTTGTCTGCATGCTTTGGGTCATTGTCCATGTGGAAAATAAATCCTCTCCCAAGCCTCAGGTCTCCTGCAGACTGCAGTCAGGTCTCTCGGTATATTTCACCATCCTGTTCACTTTGCAGTCCCTGAAGCAGAGAAGCATTCTCATAATGCCACACTGCTCCCACCATGCTTTATGGTTAAGAATAGTGTTTTTTTGTTTGCTGTGCAGCATTATGCTTTCTCAAAACACACAGCTCGCCTTTAAGGCCAAAAAAAGTTCCATTTAGGTCTCATCGCAACACTGAATCTTCCTCAGCTTGGCCTCATAGTGTCCCATATTATCTTTGAACAAACTGCAGTTCATGGTTTTCTTTCCCCCAACAATGGTTGTCTTTTTGACAACGTTCCCTAACACCCAGCCATAAAAACTCCCAAGTTTATCCTATAAACAGTGCCTCGTATTTCTCTTACGGAAGCTTGATGTCACAAGCCTCCTGGTGACCTCTCTTCTTGCATAGCTACTCAATTTCTAGATGCTTTCTTACTGAATCCTTTCACATTTGCTTATGGTAACCATGCGCTGGCGGATTTCAGTATCTGTGAAATGTTCTTATATCCTTTATCTGACAGGTGATGTTCTGGAAATTTATCCCAGAATTGCTTTGACTGTTCCTTTATAAAAGGTACTTTTTATTGTGCTTTGTTGTAGCATTCAGCAGACAAGTATATAACTGCCCATACATGGAGACCCTTTAAATAACCTTTTGACTTATGAAGATATTGAAGAAGTTATTGAAGATAGGTGTGTTATAGTAAAAATTAATTTAAAGTACCTTGTTTAAAAAAGTACTTAATTAGTAATCACTGTGATATTAACAGTACCATGTGTTCATCAGACAGATTCTAGCTTGATTCCATGTTGTGGCACACTATCATTTAGAAACGGACAATGGGGATGTGTATCTTTTACACAGCTACTTCAGAGTCGCTATTTACGCTCACTGGTTTCATGGCACAATGCCTGAGATGTTAATTACAGCGGACAGAGGTACGCCTAAAACGCCAAGAAAGTGTCCCTCGGATATCCTTCCCGGCAGATGCCACACGGATGAGTCACGACCCCCTGAACCCTTTTAGTGGAGGTTGAGGACTCACTATAAAGGCACCATAAACAGTAATGTCACTTTTAATTTAGCCACCATTCACACTCAAACTCATCACATCTGCTCTTCTAGGATTTATCTCTGTGTAGGTACTCTGTGCCGTTGGATATGTTAGGGGGGGAGCGGGGGGTGTCAATGCAACCCTACTGGCAATATAGTTTGATAAATTTCTGCCAAGATGAGATCATCAAATGCCTTCCAACACTGCACATATAATTAGAGGAGTGTCATTAATCATGTGTTGCAGGGCTGTTTGGGGTAATGAGATTCCAAAAGTGGAATTTATTATGCTGGGGTGGCACTAAGCACTCTGTTTATTACATAGAAATCTTGACTTCATACTCAGAATCTAAAGGCTTGGCCCAAGTATATACCCACTTGCTGTATAATCGAGCAAAAACCAGAACTTGAATATACAGCCTGTTTTCTATTTTTTACACTGACTTCCACTATTTAAAGAACTGACCGGTTTCTCACTAAACATTTTGCCTTATGTTGTCTGTTGTTACATTATTATTATCTAAGACACATCTAATAACCCAATCAAATCACAGACGCCAATATCTGTCCGCATTTGCTGAGTATCCGGGTAAGTTTAAACGAAGGTGTTTGTGAAACAGGCATACTCAAGTGCACAGAAGACACATGGGGGAGTAGCGCATCCCTGGATCTGCCAAGAAATTGTGACATTGACACACCGCCCCCCCCCTCCCCCTTCAAGTTGGGCAAGTTGGAGAGGACAACCACATTAGTAGCTTAATACATGGTTTCCCGCCACTAGCAGAGGGACAGAGTGTTACACAAACAGGCAGGTGCCTCCTCCACTCTTAATGAGGTCTGATTACGAGAAACAGAAAGGGAGGGGGGGAAGGAATATTCCACAGGGAGAGGAGCTGTTGGTACTTCTGCACTGTTGATGTTTGTTTCTGCATTTTTTATTCGCTATATATTGCTACCGCTTTATTTATTTATTTATTTGTTTATCTATCTATCTATCTGCATGTCACACTTCAGCAATAGCGAATCCCATTTCTATCTGCCCAGTAAGGCTCTTTTTAAATGAAATCTGGGTTATAGTCACTCTCATATTTATTGCAATTTAGGATATAGGCATTTTATTCTGCATATTTCACATTTCTAACAGTGTATTTCTGTGGGATATAAAAGGAAATAGATGGCCGGATAGATATCACTGGCGATCTTATTCAACCGAGAACAAACTTTTTAGAATGACTTTCTGAAGTTAGAGCCAACATGGAGACCTAATTTAAAGCAGAATTTAAAGACATCTGTTTGCACTGCCAGGGATTCTGAAACTTTTTTCAGAAATGTAAATCACCTTTAGAGAGGGAGCAATTACTGCATGACCCGATTTGTTAATTTAAATATAACTTATTTTACTCTGCTGGCTTGGGTAAATATATACACCTTTACTTTCCTGCAACCTCCAACATGGTATTGTTAAAAATTAATTTTAGAAATTAGAAATTCCAGCTATGCTTGGGAGGCTGCGACATGTTTTTTCCCACATTTTATCCGCCTACACGAAGCGTTCATAAACAAAATATCGGCAGTGTTTAAGGGACATTCTGTACTCACGCTACTATACGTTCTGGGGATCACACTCGTGGTATCTGCTTACGTAGACTCTATAAGGCCAAAAAATAATCCCTTCCTGCTGAATTTTTGTCGGGTAAGCAAATACAAAGTTCTTAAATACTTCATAAGATTATGTGCTTGCCCTCGTTATGAAAATAAAATTATACAATGAGATGTTATTATGTCAAGTATAATTCTGAATATATTGCATATCTTACACTGTAATGAATTAAATATAATTTGGCCTAAAAATAATTAGAAAGTAAAAAGTCACTTTTCTCAGTACCAATTACAACACTTAATTAAAAATGTACAAACATCACCATCATCCCCTTATATAACAGAATCACCTGGGTCATCTTCACAGCTGTGGGGTTGATGGTTCGAAACCTGCCCCAGATCCGTGTGTGTGCTGAGTTTGCATTTTCTCCTTGTGTTTGTACAGCTTCGCTCTAGGCAATCCAGTTCTGGTGAACTGGCTTCTGGAAATTTCCCTTATATGATTTAATGTGCTCCTTGCAATATTGTGATATCCCATCCAGAGAGATCCGCCCACTGTGCTCAACCCTGTAGTGGATAATCAGTTATGGATGATGGATGAAAGTATCTCAGAATCAACTCATTATAACCTCTCTGCAGGTGTTCAGAAACCCTGAAATTATATTTTTCCTACCAGACAGTCATAACATAAAATATAAATATCATCATTCATAACTTAAATGTGAATGATCTCTAATCTAATCCGCTATGATGCTATATGCATAATGGTTATTTTTCCTATAAGAATGTTAGTAAATTGTGATGCCACCACATTACAACGCTAATTTTGTTATGGGCTGTGATACAGTGGTGCGGTAGTAAGTGAAAATGATATATAGGGTTGTTTGTATCGATACCCCAAGACTGAATACCAGAGCCCAACCAGCTATGAGTTTTGAGCCTATTACCAATCCAATTTCTGGGCCTACCTAGCCCAATAAATAATTCATGCAAAACTATTAAATCACAGAGAGTATTTCACTGCTGTTTTGTAAGCTGTCAAATAATCCTTGAACACGGTTTCAATGCAAATCTGTCACAGCGAAACATCAATGTTCAATGAAGGGTATAACATCACAACAAAACAGGGAAATAAAGAACGATCATTAAGCATTTATGGCTTACTGTTTTACTGTTTCTCCTTCATAGTAATGGCTACGTAAAGCAAATGCCGTAAAACAGGACATATGCCGCTAAGGAATGCTGGGAATTTAGCACTGTGGCAGCACTGGTCTATCACATGACGGCGTTCCTGCTTCTTCTGTACAAGAAAAGCATTCAACAGTTCCAGATGCGGGAGTATTATGCTGCCTTACTGGCATCAAATACAAGGTGTTCCCCTGCCTTGTGTTACCTGGGTTAATTATCTCAGAACATGAGCTATTTAAAAAAAAAAAAAAAAAGCGCTTTTGATATGTTTGGATAATTTTGGATTCAGGAGAAATTTTGATGAAGTGTCTTGGCAAACATCTATATTTAATTCTTTTTTGTTGCAAATGGTGACCATGGACAATCATAGTGTTTGTTCTCCTCATTACTAAGCAAAATGTGATGAAAGCAGTACAGAAGTATTGAAAATCGTTTTTGTAATATTTCACAATGGCACTAAATTAATTGTAAATTCTCCTTCTAAAAGGCTAATTATTTCATGTAGATAGTGATGCATATTTAGATCATCCATCATGCATTTCCTTAACGACTCATGAAAAGGGGAATTTGGGATCAGAAAAGTTACTGGATGTCAACATGAGCAATTTCACATCCATCTTCTATACCCACTTGTCCTGTTCGGGGTCCTGGGGGTCTGGAGAACATCCTGAAAGCTGCAGGTGCGAGGCAGGGGATATCCCAGGATGGAGTGCTAACCCATCACAGGGCACACTAGCGTGCTTTTGGACTGTGCGGTGGGGGACCAGGAAACCCAGAGGAAACCCCAGGACAAGATCAGAAGAACATGCAAGGACTCAAACCTTGGTCCCAGAGGTGTACAGCAACGACGCTAAGCACTGCACCACCATGCCACCCCTACAACAAGACAATAAAACATGTCATGTTTCCAAATGTCACAAGCCTTGGGTACTATCTTGGTGACCCATATGGTAACTATTAGCAAATTATGTGAGTACGACTCTTTCATCTTTATAAAGAACCACTGTACGTTTGAAATCATGCACTGCTGAAATGTTTGTGGGACACACATGCTGGGGGTGTAATAAAATACCACAAACCATCAGAGTTTGCACCCGATCTCTAATGTTTGCAAACATTCTGCTACTAAATGTGCAGAAGTTCTCGTTATCGTGATTTTTGGCTTATCAAGCATCCATCATCGTCATGTATTGAAAAGCAATACAGTATTTCAATCAACTAGGTCATTTCTGGGGAAATGGGCAATACAGAGAGTGTATAAAAATATCCAAGATGTTGGAAAAAACAAATACTTCACTCAAAAACTCTCTTATACCCCAGAGGGTTCATTTCAATATATATTTCAATGCATATCAAATGTGTCTTTCACAATGTGTCCTTAAATATCAGCTGAACTTTAAATGTGAAACGCAATCATCTATTATGCAGGACGCAACACACCACAGGGTCACCATTCGTGATAAAATGGGCCATCAAACGTGCAGGTCATGGAACTGACAGTGCTACTCGCCTACAGTTATATCCCCTCATTAAAAATCCAGCCACTATTTGTTCGGTATCCATTTATAACCTTCTCCACCCATTATTATTTGAATAATTATATATTATTATCATAAAAATTAAACCAGCCATTCTACCGGAAAATAACACCTGCTTTCAGGTTTTCTGTGAATAAAGACGAAACTATGTTTCATTCTCTTCATAAAGATGTATGGGTCATGATTTACTGAACTGAGATGCATGTTAGCTATGATTACTATATAGCATTTTTTTTGTTGTGCTCTTGTATGTAATCAGCCAGTACATCTATTTAATGCATAATTAATGACACTGAATGAAATGGTACTTCTCGGTGAATTACATTTTTAATTTTGTGTTACAAAAAAAATCTGTTATTCTGTTATATCGAATGCTGGCAGTGCAGCTCATTGGTACCATGATTAGATGATAACTATGCTTTCATTTTGAATATGAAAAGGAGCTCTTCCTGTATTTTTGGCAGAAGAGAAATAAACCATCAATGCAATTCTTGATGATTGTATTTGTTTTCTTCCTATTTTTAGGGAAAAAAATATAGACGAAATTCAAATAAGTGAAATAAAAAACAATTCAATAAAACCGAAAATAAAATCCCTTGCTGGTTCTAAGCTTACCGACAGTAGTGCTGGTCAGACTAATCAGCGGCATATAATTTTAAATGGAGCTTTCAGAATTTCTGATTTTCTAATACGTGATGAAGAAAAATGGTTCTGGAAGTTCCTCCTCCACGTTCCAGTAAATAACGTCTGTGTTTGTGTTTGCATACTCAGAACAAGGCCAGCAGAGCGGCTGATTGGGCTGCACTGTCGCCTCATGTCTCACGGCTGGGAATCAGAATCCGACCTCTGCTCAGCGTGAGGAATTTAAGTCTCCTCTCTGTGTCGTGCTGCTGTCCCCTGGTCCCACCCGCAGCTCAACACCATGCAGTTACTCACCCACAGAGTGAGTATGTGCCTTGTGATGGAGTGGCACCCCAACCTTGTGGCCTATGCACCCCCCACCCCCATGACCCTGAGCAGGAGAAACAGTTAGCAGATAAATGGATATTCAAAACATCAGCCCTTTACGAATGTGCTTGATAAAGCTGTATATTCCATTTATTGCACTCAGATCACTTGTGCACCCTCTGAATAGGTCTGATTGGTTAAGAAACGGCTGAGAAAATACACTCGTCTCGCACAGTCTTTGTGATTGCCGCACCACAAGTGTCATTAAAGCCATGCTGACTTAC